ATCTATCTATCTATCTATCTATCTATCTATCTATCTATCTATCTACACACACACACACACACACACACACACACTGTATATCTCTGCCCACTGCCAGAGAGATCAAGCAGAAGACTCCAAATGTGTGTGCCTTACTGGGTGTGAAAAATGCTGCTTGCCTTGGTGTCACTGTTTCCCTTCTTTCCTTGGCAGATCACAGAGCTCTCCAAAGAGGTCTTCAAACTGAAAGAAGCTCTGAAGGATCTTTCGGAGCTGTCCAGCGGTGCTTCCCTTAAAGGGATCTTCTCACCCAAGGCAGAGAGCGAGCTGGAGGTAGCTACCTTCCAAAGGAGAATTAAAGATCTGGAGCAGCAGTTGATTGTGAGTATCTTACGAAGCAAGGAGGGGAGAATTAAGTAGAGACTCGAAGAGTTGTTTTAGGAAGGTCCATCAAGCTCAACTGTTTGATTCCTTCCACTTCAGATGGGTCAGGTGTTCCTCGAAGACAAAAAGGGAGTCATGTATTAGTAAGACCACGTTTGGAATAGCACTTAGACTTGTATACCGCTTCATAATGCTTTTACAGCCCTCTCTAAGTGGTTTGCAGAGTCAGCCTCTTGCCCCCCAACAATCTGGGTTCTCATTTTATTGACTTTGGAAGGAGGGAAAGCTAAGTCAACCTTGAACTGGTCAGGATCGAACTGCTGGCAGTGAGCAGAGTCAGCCTGCCATGTTGCATTCTAGCTAGAACAAGAAGTTGACACTTTAGAAAGAGCGCAGAGGAGACTAAAACATAGGAAGAACAGTTGCAGGAATTGGGTATGACTAATCTAGAGAAAAGAAGGGCCAGGAGAGACATGGGAGCAGTGTTCCCATATCTAAGGGGTTGTCACAAAGAAGAGGGGCCCACCTATTCTCCAAAGTACCAGCAGGCAGGAACGAGAAACAGTGAATGGAAACTAATCAAGGGGAGAAGCAACCTGGAATTAAGGAGAAATTTCCCGACAGTGGAAACAATTAATCAGTGGAACGACTTGTCTCCAGATGTTGTGAATGCTCCAACACCAGAGGTTTTTAAGAAGATATTTGACAACCATTTCTCTGGAATAGTGTAAGGTCTCCTGTGTGGGTAGGGGGTGGGACTAGAAGACCTCCAAGGTCCCTTCCAACTATTATTCTGTCAAAAATCACACTTCCAGATGAGATGGAGATATAACCATGTAGTTGCCTAGTTCTTTTAACAGCTTGATGGCATGTACAGTAATCAACCAACCAGAACCCTTGGCCAGGACTATACCTTGCTTGAATAAAAGGAAGACGTTCGCATGAGATGGAACCAATTAGATGAGACAGGACCAACTCTTGAAGTTGTGATGGTTAGGTAAAAGCCTCTGAAAAACCCAATAGAATAGAATAGAATAGAATAGAAGAGAAGAGAAGAGAAGAGAAGNTGTTCCTCACTCTGTGTGTATCCAATAAATCAAATTTCCGTTTTGTGCAGGTTCTGGAGCAGGACGAGAAAGACCTGAGCGAGGCTGATGCTTCTGGGGACTTCATCCCTATCATTTTGTACGACTCGCTGAGATCCGAATTCGAGAAGCTGAAAGGGCAGCAGTTGGAGGCTCAAGAGCTTCTGAAGTCCCTGGAAAGCAACGGAACAGATGGTGGCCCTCCTAAGCTCGTCTCAGCTGAGGCTTACGAACAGCTGAAGGACGATTACGAGAAGCAAATCGCGGCTCTTAAAGAAGCTTTGGAGAAGATCAGCCTGCCGGATGATCAGATCAGAGAGGACCGAGCGACGGAAAGTAAAGCCGGCTCGGAGCAGGAAGGAAAAAGCAAATTCAACCCGCTAACCCGAGAAGAGATGGAGGAGCTGATGAACGAGCTGAGCGAGACCCAGGAGAAATATCAGGCCGCTTTGGCTGAAGTCAAGCTCCTCGAGGAACAGATTGAACTAGGCATCTTGTCCGTGGAGGACAAAGACGCTGCGGAGAGTTCCAGAACTGAACTCGAGACGGTCAAGGCCGCTCTGCACAAGACTCAGGAGGAGCTGAAGGAGCAAGATCAGAAGACGAAGGATTTGGAAGGGCTGCTCAGGGCCCAAGAAGAAAAAGGGGCCCAAAACTACGATGAGATGAAAGCTACCCTCGGGGCCTCCTTGGATGCCATGTCCCAGGAGAAAGAGGCCCTTCGAAAGAGATGCACCTCTGCGGAAGCAGAACTAAGAGAACTGAGGGCCTCCTTGGAGGAGGAGAGGCACGAGGTGCTTGAAGGAAAGTCTTCGGCCAGCCAGGCCCTTCAGGAGGAGACCAGCAAGCTGCGAGAGCAGCTGAGGGCCATGACGAAGCAACACGAAGAAGTGAAGGCTCACGTCGAGGAGCTCCGAGAAGGCCGGGAGAAGCTGGAAGAGGAGCTTCAAGCGACCAAGGAGAGGCTGGCCTCTCAGTGCGTCTCTAGAGTGGAGCACGAAGGCATGGTGGAGACGTTGAAGGCCGCCCACTCTGGGGCTGAGAAGAGGCTGCTGGAGATGAAAGAGAAGTACACTTCCACCCAGACCGAGCTGGCAGAACTTCAGAAGACCACTGAGGCCTACAGGCGAGAGTCGGTACCCCTGGCTGAGCACGCCCGGGCTAAGGAGGCCTTGGAGGGCACCTTGTGGGAGTTGAAGGCCAAAGGAAAGCTGTTGGAGCAGGAGCTGAAGGCCAAAGCCCGGGAGGCCTCCCATCTCCAGGCCCAGCTGGATGAGGTCCGTCAAGGCGCCGTCTCCAAGGAAACCCACGAGCAGCTCAGGGCCGCCTCACAGGCCGAAATCGAGGCTCTGAAGGCGAAGCTGAGCGACCTGGGCTCCAAGCACGAACGGACCTGCACCGAAGTCTTCCAGGTGCAGCGGGAGGCCCTCTTCATGAAGAGCGAGAAGCACGCGGCCGAGGCACAGCTGGCCGCTGCCGAGAAGCAGTTGCAAAGCCTGCGGGCCGAGTCCGAACGTCTCCAGGAGCTGCACAGCCACATCGAAGACTCAGCCAAGCTGGTTAAAGAGAAAGACAAGAAGGTGAGTCCTATTTGGTTAGTCTGAAAAAGGTGCCCTCAGGCCTCTATTGCCTCCACTTTGTTCACCAAGAGATAGATAGATGATAGATAGATAGATAGATAGATAGATAGATAGATAGATAGATAGATAGATAGATAGATAGATAGGGTTCCACCATAAATCCGCGAAGCCCTTATCCGCGGAGACATA